TTTTTTTTTTTCATTTTTCTTTTGTTTTTCAGGTACTCGTTTATCGGGTTGTTATTGAGACCAATGTAGAGTGGATATTACAAGAGAGGAGGGTAGATCGACATAGTGATGCTATTGGCTAGTTGATGTATCGTGCCCATTTGAGACTCGTTTATTCACTATTAACTCTTCGACAGTCTTATTCGGTATTTGCAGTCTGTTTTGTTCTCTTTTGTTTTATTTTCCGTCTTCATTTACTCATTTATTCAGTTTAGTTGTCACCGTTGAACATTTAGTAGTAACTGTTTAAAACAATAATTGTTTTTTCAGTTTTTCTCTGTTTCATTTTTGCCTACAGCTTTACTAATGTCACTATTAGAGCTGTACCTCGTGGCCCAATTTATTTGGCTTCATTAACCGTCAAATAGCTTCCGGCAGGGTTCAAAGTTCCTAATTACTGACCTCATGGTTACTGTCCCTTTACTCATCATTCTTTTATCCTTTATTTGTCTAGAAAATGAAGAAAAGAGGAGAACGAAACGCTTTTATAATGAGCATTAAGATATATCTGAGTTGTTATAGGCACTGGAATTGAGCCTTAAATCGGCTCTAATTAAATGCGTTTCCAATAAATGCAGAAAATTTTAGCAAAATTTTGAGAGATTCTTTTATGAGAGTAGTCTGGTCGTCTCCTCCCCACTCCTCCCTTCTCCAAAAAAGCATCGTTTAGCAGTTGAAATAAAGCGAAAGATTGATAAATGTCAGCAATTGAAATGACTTATTGTAAGAGTATGATTTCTTCAATTTTTTTTTTGATTTTCATTTTTTGGATATTTTGACATGTTTTTTAGAAAGTAACAGTTGACTAACATTGTCTACTGCATTAAAAAGTATTTTATCTGAGAGCAAGTGTCATTTTAAAAGGTTGTTTATTTTGTTCGATAAAAAGTTCTTTGATGGTCCTTATCAAGTGAACATTTTTTTTTTGGTTTTTTCCTGCTTTGTCTTTTGTATGGATGGACGATAAAACAGAATTGTGGCGTCCGAGTTTTTTCACTGTTACTACGAAAGGGACATCTAATACGTATGGTTGTGAGTTACCACTTTCTTGTTTGTATTTTATTTATTCCACCAAACACGAGTACAGTTGTTGTTTTCTCTTGGCACACCTCTTTGCTACCGTTAAAAGCACTTTTTATTAGGTTATTTAGAGGTTTTTTCACTATTGATTATTTTTATTTTAAAAGCTTTCTTTGTATTGCCAACGACTTTCGACCTGTTTGTCAAAACAAACAAGCAGTGTTAATTGGCCACCACTAGGTAAAATAATGTGTACTGAATTCTGGGATTGTTGTTTCAGCTAATTTCAAGTTGAACTCGACGTCAACTGTTATCTAATTCTTGCGTAAGTTGAGGGGTTTTGTCAGATATATGATTGTATTGCAGTGGTGTTTAAAGTTTTTTCGAATAACGGACAACATTTGTTGTATTCGTTTGGGAATAAAATTTTTATTTTTTTGTGGATTTACGAATGCCGCTTGTTGATAGGTATATATTCGGTATTTGTGTGTTTCCGTCACCATTCGACGTCGTATAGTTCTGTGGTTGAACTAGTTTCGATGCCTATTTGCTACAATACTATGATTTTTTGTGGTTTCTCTTTTGAATGTTGTCGCTGACTTTTATTTTCTCTCAGGTTTCTTTGATTTCGAGACAGACGACTTCTTCGTTCAAGTTTTTTCAGAGCAATAGTTTTTAAGGTACTTAATTAAAAAAACCGTCTGTGTTGAGGACGTTCCACTTTTTATTTCTTTGCTATCTATTTTGCTTCATAGAAAAAGCCATAACTGCATTCAATTTCAATAAGATGTTGAAAAAGAGTTGCTAATGTTTCAGCTTGAGCGATTGTTCGTACATTATATTTTTTACTGTTAATTATTTACATAATGAAATTATGTTTACTGCTTGCAAGCACAGTGTTACTGGCTACTGCGAAAAAACAAGCTTGTAATTTCTGTTGATACTGTGTTGTAATTTTTATTTCTGTTGGTTCTGATAGTATCTTTGTTGCTTATTTTCACCGTTTACACGCGTTACTTTCGGCCTGTTTCCTTTTATGATGGCGAGGAAAAATATTCGATCAGTTTTATAAAACTTTGTTCTTATTCTAGGTTATTTTGTGGCTGAAATAGTGGCTTAAAATATGGACAGAGAAGCATTTATTCACTTTTTTGGTGGGGCAGCTGGTGGAACTGCAGGTACAGCAATAACTTGTCCCCTTGAAGTAAGTTACCTTTGCAAGAGTAAAGCTTTTGCGTAATAAACTGGCTCAATTTTTTTCGTTGTGACCTGCACTGTTTCCTTGCTTTTAATCTACCGCAGTTTTGGTCAAAACCGAATTTTTATAACACAAAAAGTGTATTACAAAAGCGCTTATGATTAAAATAATCTGCGTTTCTCGTTTTTTAATTTTTTTCGTAGCAAAAAATAAAATGACCTGTTTCGTATTTGTTGTGCTGTAAGACAGAATTTTAAGGTCGTGAAGACACGATTACAAAGTTCAACTTTTGCGAACTCGTCGTTGAATATGCCATCAACTTCCACTGATGGAGGATCGAAGGCTGTTCGAACTTTGCGCACTCCCTTAACTCGGCAGGGTTTTAAGCGTTTTAGCTTTCCAGGTTACATCGTTTTCCCTAGTGGTTCTAATTTTTTTTGTCTCATCTGTGCTCAGAAATAAGAAATTTTTTATTGCGTTTGAAAACGCTCATATTTATCTCATACGTTGTTGTTTCCATTTGTTGAGTTGTCATTTTATGGACTTTTACTTATCCATAAGTGCACGATTTGTGATTGTTATTGTTATGTTTTAGTAGTGCCAAAGTTCCAGCCATCCTCATCCAAACTGTTATGGCCAATTGCATTGAATACCGCTGCGCGGTTTCGCGCCTCTTCAACTGCACCACAAGTACCTAAGAAAAATATTCTTAGGCTATTTCGGTAAACTTTAATTTTTCTTTATGTTTCATTCTAATTCTAATAATTTTGTACAAATTCTTAACGCTTTATCTCTGTCATGCACTTTGCTTATTGGCCTTTCGCTTTGCGAAGCTTCTTTAGGCTTATTTCTTACATGCTTATACTGCTGGATGATGGGGACTGAAGGGTTGCTTTTTAGGAATTTCGTGTTTTACCAGAAGTTTAATTTAAATAAGTTCCCATAACTTGTGATCTTCGTAAAATTTTAAAGTGGGTGAGTTGGCGACAGAATTTTCAAATAACTGTAAAGTAATAAATCTTTTTTTGGGTTTTACAAAAAAGATTTAGTTTCAAGAAGCTGGTGGTTGCGTTTACTCATGATGAAGATTCCTGTAAAATATTCAGTTTGCTGTTTTATGGAATAAGAATTAAAAGCAAATTTTTATAAGGTTCTACAACGTTAAGTTTGGGCAGAGTTTTAAAATCTTTAATAAATTTTTTGCTTATTTTGTTCAGCATAAGATTTTTATGTTTGAATAAAAGTATTCAAACATATATCTTCTTGAGCTGTAACTCAACAATACCAGAGGAATTCTAATACTCTCAGTCTTATAGGCAGATTATTGTTGACGAAGGATTTGGGGCGTTGTACAAGGGGTTGGGCCCGAATGTCGTCGGAGTCGCACCGTCAAAGTATCGTATTACTGTTAATTGTCAAGCTGTAATATAGTTCCTCAATTATATCCAGAAATAAGCTGCATTTTGGAAAAGCTTAGTCTCTTAGTGTTAAATTAGCATTTCAGAGCTGTATACTTCTACACTTATTCCTCCTGTAAAAGGTTCTTCAACGACGTGGAATGTTTTGTGCCAAATAGTGCTATGGTTCACATGATTTCAGCCGCGTCTGCCGGTAAGATTCAAGTATATATAATGGTATTTTTCAACAGAAAGCTTACCAGCTTTTTTCTTATTTGTAGGCGGAAATTACTCCATTATAACTAAGACTTCATAATGCTGTTAATTTTCATAATATTGATGCATTTTAAAGGTTTTGTTGCTGCAACAGCAGTTAACCCTATTTGGCTCGTTAAAACGAGATTGCAACTGCACAAGGGTCCTTTGACAATCAATCAATGTATCAGAAGAGTTTTCAAGAACGAGGGCATTAAGGGTTTTTATCGTGTAAGTCCGGAGTTGCTATTTGAAAGTTATATTTGATTGTTGAATATGGCATTTTGAGAGCTGATTAGCGCTTGTCTTTTTTTTTAAATGTTATGCGTGTCGTTCCTTGATAATTCCACCAGAATTTTATTTATTCTTACACTGTTGCTTATTTTTAGGGAGTGACAGCATCATATGTTGGTATCTCAGAAACGGTTATTCAATTTGTGATGTATGAGCACTTAAGGAATCTTCTGCTTAGGCATGAGGAACAGCCTCAAGATGAGGCCAAAAGAAGTAAAATGGATTTCATAAACTTTATGATTGCTGGCGGATTAGCAAAGTTTTTTGCTTGTGTTGCTGCATATCCTCATGGTAAATGATGCCTTAGTAAAATCTAAAATGATTTTCTCAGATTAGGATTACTTGACATTGTTTTAACAATTCTGGTCAAGAATTTTAAACAGAAAATAAGGAAACTTGGATTTAGAAGTGGTACGGACTAGATTACGAGAAGAGCATAGTAAAGCAAGTGGATTTTTTTCAACCCTTTTTTCGATATACCGTTTTGAAGGTTTCAAGGCCTTGTATCGCGGTCTTGCAGTCCAGGTTAGTTGTTTGTTTGTTATATAACATTGCTCTGCACTCAACCCTCTCTCTACAAATTGTTTACTTGAACCTTCCTTATTCGAGCATAGTTCTAGAAGCAGTCTTTTGTTTATGTTTTTTTCAGCTTATGCGTACCGTTCCAAATACTGCTATAACAATGGGTGTTTATGAATTGGTTGTTTATCTATTACATCGTATATGAAAAAGTGCTCTTAATATTTTCTGATACCTCTGCCCACTAATGCTTTGGGTAGCTGTGGTTTTATGGTATATTCACCTGTGATATATTTTTCAGAACCGGTTTAGGTTTTTGTTGTGGCTCGTCTTTAGGAGTTTTAGTTCTTCAACTTGAAAGTTTTTTGTTAAATGCATAGATTTCTAGTATTTTCGTCTGCAAAATTCCAGTACTTGGGTTTCTTGTTGCTCTAAGGCAAGTGGCTTAGTTAGAATAATGCTCAGTTTGACAGGGAAGTGAAAGCACTAATTGACCATCGTTGCCTTTTTCTCTTAGGTTATTTGAAAGTTTGATAATTTAAATTTTTTAACTTTTTGAGTGTGATATTGACTAAATTTATTAATTGGCAGCATGTTCTCCATGAGACATTTTTTTCATGTTCTACCGGTTGATTTATTTTCTCGCAAGTTTATCCGGTTTTTATTTGATTATTACTGAAGGATTTGCCGATTATTGTTTCCATCCGCGTGAAGATCTGCTTTGTGTTAAAGTAGGCGTAGTCATGAAAATATTATGAATAGTTTTTGGTGCTATGAGATGTTGCTCACAGTTTTAATTGATGCTAATTGCTCAAACTTTGGTAATAATTGTTTTAATACTTTGTTTACATTAACTGCTCAGATATGCAATTCAGTGATGAATCTATTTCAATTTCAATAGGTCGTGTAATATTTTGTAAGTTTGAATTAAATAAAATTGTATTTCTTTTATTTTCATTTTATAAGTATTTTTACAGGAGTCAGTATCTTAAAATTTTATAAGTTTGTCTTCCACTTATCTGCAGTCTCAATAACTGCATCGTTTTAGCTTGGACATTGGATATTGCTTAAATATGGTAGATTTATCTGCATCCTGTGGACTAAGGCAATATTGCGAAAGACTTACTCCTGCTAATTGCTGTTTAATCAGAAATGTTCAGGTCCCGCTGTAGGACGGATCGTTTTATTAAATATTTTCCATTTGACTTTCTGCTTGTTATACGCTTCCAAATAATTTTTTTTAGGACGAAGTGGTTGAGTTTATCCTCCTGAGGTTGATTTACATTGTAGCTTAGGAAAACCAAAGAATAGCAGAATCCAAATGTAGTTTTCAGATTTAGATGACTAATTTTTAGATCTAGTAGAAACTTTTGGCGCATTGCACACACTCACTTCGCAGTGTCTACCAGAAGTTGTGCAATCCGCCGTAGTGGTAACAGCGATGACGCTTAGTTTTTAAGTTTCCACTGAACAATATTTTAAGAGGGGAAAAAAAGAAATGACGAGTCGAAACATAAAAGCATGTTTGACCGTGAATAGCTCTTAGTATTTCCCGACTAGTTTCTTGTTGTGTTGCTTGGACACGCGTTCCCAGTTAAGTTTGTTGTATTTACTATATTTCGGAGAAAAAGTTTTATTCATAATTACGGTACAAACTGAAAGTCTTACTGCAGGGGAAGGTATAAAACGTTCTGAAGTTCTGTTATATACAGATACTTAAAACCAGTCGTTTTGAAGCCTGATATTTCAAGCTATATATATATATATCGTCTCATTTACCATATTAAATTCAAACCTGTAACGGTGTAACGACCAAAAAGTCCCAGTGAAAGTGGTTAATGAAAGAAAAAGATGAGACTGGCAACGTCAACCAATGTTCACAGAACTGGAGGTTTAGTAACAAGAAACCTTAAAGCTTGTTGAAGAAGAACAGTGTTTCAAGTTCATTGGTGGGCCGGAAGAAACAAAGGAAAGGAAGATGATAACAATACTAATATTGCTTATAATGGAAATAAGGGTTGGGAGGAAATAAAGTTTCAAAGACGGCAGTGTGATAATTAGAAATAATCACCGCTGTTGAGCATGGCTATAATGAAACAAAAGTTCCAAGTTATCTGTGGAACAGCTAAAACAGCTAGCGGAAGAAAAATAAATCTTTTTTTTGTATTCCATATATAATGTACGCAATTTCAACTGATATATTAACATTTTCCGAACACTCAGCCTAGAACAAAGTAAGTGCCCATCTGAACAACAAAAGAAGACATAAAGATGCTATTGGTAATAGCTGAGGACTTAGTGACTGTGATCTGGAAGTATTATCCATATGTACATCCATCGGTGTCGTCTTATCAGTAACAGAATTGTCCATATGATCGTCGGGTTTGGAGGGAACCTGAAAGCATTAGTTGACTGTTAATTATATTAGTTATTTCTTTGCAGTAGATCATAAAGGCTGCTCTGTATTCTTATAAAAAAGAGGAACTTTAAGAAGAAGGAATGAAGTACGCTAGATGTGTTCTAAAAATAACAAGAGATGGGATATTGTTTCAAATGGTTACTCAAAAAAACCCTAAATAATGCCACTGATAGTTGTTTGAACTACACCCTTAAACTGTTATCGTCAGGATTCAATGGATTCAAAAGTAGGAAAAAAAAAAGGAAAATCATTAAGCCATAGTGCAGTATCAAATTAAAGATATCACTTTTAAACTGCATAACAAACTAGACAGCGGAAGTAACAACAAGTTCAATTTACGTGACAGCAAAAATTTCCGCTGTAAAGTCACGTGAGCAGAATAAAAAAAAAAATAAGAAAAAACGAATGAGTGGAAAAATGGAAGATTTTTGGCGTCATAAAGTTGGTCAAAAAACTTACAGTAATACACGGCTTCAAAATAGCGTCACGAAGCTTCACGCAAAGCTCGTCTTCGGTATCAGCGCACACGCAGGTGCCGAGTACCGCCCCTTGTTGGGTGCTCAGTGTCTCGTTCAAACGTTCACGGCACTTCTTACTGCAATCGTGATTCAGTGCTTCAGTTTCGCATTCAGAAAAGTATACTTCCCACTTGGAATTACACTGAAACAGTTTTGTTTGCGATTACAGTAAATTGTTTTTGGTTTTGTCTAAGATTAAGCAGAAGATTTAACTTTTTGAAATGTTTGTCTCTAAAACAGAATAAATCCACTTCATCATACAAGAACAACAATTTATCATAGTAACAACAGTGTAACAGACAATATACAAAGAACCTACTTCAGTAAACTTTCGTCTCTCAAGAAGATAAAAGAGAGAAGAACGAAGACAAAGAGGGAGATAGTGGTGAGAAGAAAATGACAAAATTTGTATCAAAAATGATGGTAAATTTGTAAACCTAACCAAGCAAAAAAAAAAAAAAATAGAAAATCCTCTTTCAATTTTTTTTCTTCTGCCAGTTTCTGCTTTTCATTTTTTCGTTCTCCCTTTTTTGTCCACTGTTCAGTAGTTTTCTGATTTTCCTGCAGACTGATGGAAAGAACACACACAGTTCAAAAAGAAAATTTTTAGAAAGACACAGAAAAGTACCACTTCTAAAGCACTTTTTGAACATCGTCTGTATTGCAGCTAAAAATGCAGCAAAAAAAAAAAACGTTTTCCAAATTT